ACCACACTCCACCCCGGGGGGCGGGGGGGGGGGGCGGGCCCCCCTCTTTTTCCCCCCCCCCCCCCCCCCCCCAGCACTTTGTCCTCAAAAAGAACTTACCCTTGTTACATCTTGGAGCCAAACTAGAACAAAAAAAGTATTTTCGTTTATTTTATCAAATTCATCTTACCTTAGATCCAATCTTGAAGTCAATCTAAACTAAAAGAAAGAATTTCAGATTAGTTCATATTTCCAAATTCACCTTACCACGCATCTTATCTTCGAGTTAATCTAAAATGAAGAACAAATTTCAGTTTAGTTTGTATTTTCAAGTTTATCTTGCTTTTGATATCATCTTGACGTCAATCTAAAATGAAAAGAGGAGGTGTGGGTGTTGGTGAGTGTGGGCGTCGGTGTTGGTGAGTGTGGGCGTGGGTGTTGATGAGTGTGGACATGAATGTGGGTGAAGTGTATGTGTTAATGTTATTTTTCGCTAACCAAACCCAAGCTCACACGCACAACCAGCCACACCCACACCCACCAAATCCTCTCTTTCTTTCTCAGTAGTTTTTTTTGTCCAGGTAGGATGTGGGTTGAAAGAGAATACCCACACCTGCTAGAGTCTTTCATTTATAGGTGTTTTTTACAAGTTCTTTCATTTGCGTTAATCAAAAAGACAGATGCCAGTTTTTTGTATGACATGATTTATCAACTGACCTATGAAGCGCCTCTTTAATGTTTACTTTCTCGCCATATATTCATTATTGAAAAAAAGCAATCTGCAAATCCTAAGAAAAATTGATAGAAGATAAGAGGAAGTGATTCAATAGCGGCACATTTTCATTGAACTTGAATTAAAGGTTTTATTCTGTTTATCTTTATTTTCTAACAAATAATGACATGTCACAAACGCACAAATACAAATTTATTTTTCTTTACACTCATGATTAAGTATACATATAGAGCAGTTTATATATGAAATGTTATAAAGCCAAGAGTTGAACTTTCAATAGAAAAATACAAGCAAAAAAAAAAGAGGATATAGACAACGAACAATTGAAAGAAAACTATGCACTATAATAAAGATAATTTTATTCTCGATTGCCCAACAAGCTAAGAATATATAAAAATATATAAACAATATCAATATACAGCATCAATGATGCAAAAACATGATCTTCAGCACTTATTTCATGTCGTTTTCCACCCATAATTAATTGTGTATCAACAGCCAAGAACTAGCAATAGACAATAACTTTTGTTTTCAATTTTTTAATTATTAAAACTTACGACTGAAAAAGCTAGAGCTCCAAGACCAGCATAGATTGTATACATTATCTGAAAGAAACATTTTTAGAGAAAAACTTAAGGCAGACATTATATTTTGTTAAAATACTTACTCTTGAATAAGTAAAAATGCAAACAATTCCAAAAGCTAAAAGTGCCAATGAGATAACAAATAAAATTCCAAAACATGATGTAAAATCATATTTTGTTTGGAAGGAAAATAATGTAATACCCAAACAAACAAATGCTGTTATACCAACAGCAATTAATACTGATTCGATTTTATAAAATGCTGAAATCATACCCATCTAAAGTTTTTACAAAAAGAAAAGATCTAATGAGTAAATAGTTTTTAAATCGAATCATACCATATAACCCATTGATAATGTCTAAAATGAAAAATTTTTAGTTTTTATTTAATTTAATTTTCTATTTTTACCAAAATGCCGAGTAAAATAAGATTAAGTGGAAACTTCCGTGCTGCCCGTTGCGAACAAATCAATGCAAAATAAATAACCAAAAAAACAACATAAGATGTCCAATAAAGCCATTGACCATTCGAACTTCGCACGTAATCACGAATCGATGGTCTATATTATATACTATCTATTGACTTTCAATATCTTTTATTAGAAAGAAAAAACATACATAAAATGAAATAATGCAATAAGACCAAATGTAATCACTAATTGAATCATAAGAATTGAATAAACCTATATTATATAAAATTATTAGAATAAACTTTTTGAAGATTTTGATCAGCACAAACCTTTCGAATAAATAAACGACGAATGTCTTTGCTTTCAAGGCCAGTAAAATCTCCCCATTGACCTCCGCCTTGTTCATTATCTTTATTAAAAAAAAACAAAGAATCTCAACTATAATGAAACAAAAGGAACTAATCACATCAATTAGCAAAGCATTCAGATAAGATATTTAGCAAAAAAATTACTTTTTATATTTAAATATGAATGTACCTATAATTCCATGAATATTTTATTTCATCTTAACAGTTTACATCTTGTACAAAATCGAATATACTAAAAGGTCAAAATAAAATATTCACAATTTCAAATTTGTTTCCTCTTATCTAACAGTTTTGATTTTAATTTTAAGAATATCAAAAAGTCTTTTCTTCACGCTTCAAATAATTTAGTCTGGCTGTTGCAAAGTTACAATAGATATTTATAAACAATAGAAAAAGATCGTATCATACGCAATTATATTTCTCACTAAAGACAGATACTATGTGAAAAAAAACAATTATTCAACTTTAAAATGTTGACTCAGTCGAACAGGTTACACTGATGATGAACCACTTTTATGATTTAATGTTCTTATGTCCTATATCAATAATAAATATGTTGATGTACAGTGTTTTATACAGCGTAAGTTCCCCATCCTGAATTACTATCAGCTTGGAATCGAATACTGTTTATTTTGATTTCATTACTTCTTTCATTAAATGTAAGATAACAAATCTTTTCCGATATTTCAATCGTATATTCTTTTCATTTAGATTAGTTTAAGCTATTGATTACAATTTTAAGCTAATCCTGTTTATGTATATACTTCTTTGTAGGTTTGCACTATATATACATATATTGAGGAATAACGCCAGTGACTACAAAATATTTGGACCTACAATTAATTAATTGAATATGTTTCAGATCTGAACCTAATCGATCTCTATCTTTCTCGTATGTATATTTCATTTTCATTTCTTGTTTGTTCTATTTCTTTGAAGAATATATGAAAAAATATATAAAAGAAGACTTTTACAACGCCATGTTTTCAGAAATAATGCCTATAAAGTCTATATATTTGAAATCTTAATGATTGATTATGTTGATCTGCAAGCATTTAGTTGAAGTTTTAATTAAGATGCAGCCAATATTAATTAGCGGTTAGTCAAATAGTTTAAGCAGAAAACTAAACATATTAGTAAGAAAGACGAAATATAAGTAACAAAGATAAAACAGTTACTTAAATTCAGAAGTTTTAGAAGGTAATATGAAAAAATTGTATTCTCTATTGAATATTCAATAGTAATCTTTAACTCTATAACTGTGTAGAATATGCAATAAATGAAGCTTAAGTTCGATTAAAAGAAAAAAAGACAAACATTGACAAAAGAATATTAGTATTCATTTAAATATATAGTGGCAATTAGAAACACAAATTTCAAATGTATTTCATTTTATTTATACAAAACAATATTCCTACCTCGAAATGAAGATCTAAGTTTGAGCCGTTCGTTAGTGTCGTCGGTACCCGACATGAACCGTACTTTTTTTCTTATATATCTATAAGATAAATACACACATCATGAAAATAAATAAATACTATGTATAAAACGCAGTAACGATTTTGTTTTTATTTCTCAAAGTTGAGATAAAAAGAAAAATAAAGTATAATTAGAAAATATTGTATCATCAAAAAATAATAGCTTAAACAATATCGATTTTTAAAGTCTTACTACCTGGAGATAAATCTGTGTGTCCGGAATCAATTAATAACTTTACAAAAGAATTTCAATCATTAAAAAAAAACTAACGTTTGACAAACCATGGACGTAGCAACACCACATGTAAGAATATATAAGTGAAGTTTAGAAATTATTCAATAAAAATAAGTATCGGGCTGAGGAGGATACGACATACATCTAGATGGTTGTTGAGTCAGATAAGCTTTGCAACCTTCGTATAGTGGATTGTACATATTTCGAACTTGACTCATTATATTTACTTATTGTAAAAAAAGACATTTTATTTATAACATAAAAGCAGAACAGTATCAGACTTACGAAATTTTTTATCTAAAAAATAGCGAAATGGTATTTTCTTCGAATTAACGACACTCACATTATTAGTTATTTAGATAGATATATGTAAAGAAGAAGGGAAAATTTGATTGAACTAACGTGGGATAAATTTATAATCAAAAACTAGTGCTCAAAGAATACATTGTACATAGATGTATTCACTATGTCTTCACACAAGAATTGCATCAATCAATAGAGGATGTATCAAGTTAAGTGTCTTGTGCATAAAAATCTTTTGAAACACGAAAAATAAAAAAACAATTTGAGTCATTTTCTGATATTCACCGACCCTTTCTATTATATATACTTTGCATACATTCATTTATTCCTCTTCACTCGATTGATTCATCTGTTTTTAATCAATAAGCACAACAGAACGAAAGATGGCGCACGCATCAATACCGATGACATGTGACTAGTAAAAACATAAATTGAAATAAATATTTCAAGATATATATCTGAACAAAAAAAGTAAGAAAGGATGTAAGTGTTGATCTTCTCTTCACCCATCTATAATAAACAAATAAATTTGATGAAGCATTCTTCAGCCATAGATTTTACGAAGAAACTTGACACATACAGTGAGGATCAAAATTACTTAGCAAGATTTATTTTTAATTGTTTTTTAAAAGAATTGAAGTAGGGATATGCGGGAAGAAAATTGTCTCCAACAAGAATATTTAAAAAATACAAATGATTCTCAATTTTTCAAAGATATACTCTTTAGACAACCAAAACCCAAATTTTTCATCACGCAGAACGCGCAAATATAATTTTGTTCAAACTATATAAAACAATAGAGAAAATAATTTACGACAAAATGAGATGTCTTCGAGCTTAATACGTTGGTTTTTGGTTGATATACTAAAGAGTGTTCCAAAAGTTTCGATCCCACTCTGTATATTGACATTATATATACAAATATATACTTATATAATTGACCGAAATACAGTTTTGTAGAGCGACATTAAAGTTTTTATTAGAAAAGAAAATAGCTCGAATTACATCGACATCATGGAAAGCAATAGTTACTTTATTACTCATGAGTAAAAATTTGAAGCAAAATGTTGTCTATTGGTGATTTTTATATGGTTCGATAGAGTTTGGCAAGCTCTACAAGAATATAAATATCACAAAAATTCTAATCCTATTTTCAGCACAAAACTTTGAAGAAACAAGAAAGAGTAATAAAAATTTCATGCATTCAATGTTAAGGAGAGTAATCTGAACATTCAATAACTTGAGCTGATTTACTATTTTGTCAAATCATATAGCTCGTAAAGGTTATTTTAAGCTATATTATACCACCCTATATCTGAAAACATCAATTATCAATCAATTAACCAATGCTATTGAGAGTTAAGCATATCTTCTCTTCTAGCGTACGTCAGATTTTTATTAGTCGGCATGATTTCCTCCAGGTTTTATATTGGAAGCGGCATCGGACGTTGTTTTTTTTTAAACACAGATTCTTGTACAACTAGTCGAACTCTATCTCAATGGATTTCGAACTATTTTCTTTTCAGATAAGAGCTTTAATCTCGCTCTGCAAAACGGTACATTAAAGTCAACCATGTACATATGCATTTGTATAAATAATGTCAAATTACAGACAGAGGTCGAAACTTATTGGGCATTTTTTGGAATTTTGGATGTTGTGGATATAGAGTGTCGATACTTTTCCCAGTGAACATACCCACATTCTTTGTATGTTCAATTGAAACTATCATCAATCATTGCTGGAACAGCATTAAAATGTTGTTCGACTACAGTAGTTATAGAAAATCTGAATGCGAGTATAACTTTACTGCTGAGATTAGTCTGTTGAAATTGATGAAAGGAATTGATTGGTATAGAACTTGAATGTATTAAGTTCGATCATTCTCGTGCTAAACGCACATGACTTTTCTCCTCAGTTATCCCAAGTTGTTAGTGACATCAAATTATTGCTTAACAGTGTTGCTATGAGAATTCAAAATATATCTGAAAAGTACCGTAGCAGTAGTGTGAAAGTGATCTAAAAATAAAACGAAGAGCAAAACTTGTGAGTCTGAAATTTTGCATATAATCCTAAATATATCTAAGCATTATGATAAAACAATTGTATTCAAATTATGGCTTTTCGAAGAACCAGGCGAAAAAACTTGTAGAGTGCCCTATGTACAAATGAATTCAATTATCTTAACAAATAAAAAGAGTCACTATTAAACTATATTTTAATCATGGACTATTTTATTAAATAAACTTTGTCTTGTATAGCTACAGGTAATATATTTAAATGATGATAGAATCAAATGTCTTTTTGGCGATAATCAATCTTGGATGAGTAGAATTGTGGAACCATCACTGGTTTCCTAGAGAATTTTTCTTTGTGAATTATTGTTGCTGCTGTTCGGTTGACACTCTATTAATACCGACAATTTGACGTTTCCATCGTTTAATAAAAATGATAGAGATAACATGAATAAATTGTTGACGAAATCTTTTTGATACACAAATATATATATATAATGGACTCTATAATATTCAAAAAAATTGAATAAATATCTCAAAAAATGTTTACTCACTGCAAAATATAAATAGTATATCATTCCAGTTACAAAATTAGCAAAATTTAATTGAACAGTATTTATTGAATTACTCGATAAATTTGCAGTAGTAAGTATGAATAGTACACTTATATATGGTACAATAACAAAGATTTTAAAAACAACTTGTACCAGAACCATAGTTGTTAATTGTTTATCTAATTCTCGTCGAATAAGTGGTATTGTTCGATAAGGTATTTGTCTTACATTAGAATATGCTACAGAACCAAATGTAATATTAATAATAATTGGTAAAACACCAGCAAGAATCAGTAGATAAACATAAGTAAAGTATTGTTGAAAAACAGGATTTGTTATAACACAACCAACTCTTCCTGTTCTTACTGATAGACTAAGATTATACCAAATCAATGATGGTATACTATGAAGAAGCCAAATGATAAAAAACATTGTACATAAACGATGAGCTTTCTTAGTATTCAGATATTGTTGCCAACGAGGTTGAAGAGAAGTAGCTAGTAACTGATCGACAGTTGCTAAACTCATACATGTATAGGATGTTAATGCACAAAATTGTAAACAAAAATTTCTGATTTTGCAGTAAACTAATGATGTATCTGCCAAATCAACACCGAATCCTGAAATCATGACACGAGAAAGTAAACCTGTTATCAATTGTCCAATATTTACAAATGACATGATGGTTAAAAAAAATGCGCATGAACTTTCTCGAAATGTTTGAAGACTAAGAAAGACAATAATATTAAGAATTCCACCAAGAACTCCACCGATCAGAACTGGTATACCAAAATAGATAGCTATACGTTGAGTAGCAAAAGTATAAATCGTATTGGTTGCAGCCGACATTTGTTGTATGTAATTTTCACAGTGATTTCAACAGATTCGGATGTTTTTATTTCCAGCCTTTTTAACAACAGTCAGGAATGTGTGTAAGTATATTTCTATTAAATAAGGTGTTGGATTTGATAGGAAAATTTAATTAACTATAAAGAAATAGAAACTATATTTACATGTGTCACATACAATACGTGCACTGATATTTGTCAAGATCTTATTTGTCATCACCAGATAACTAACGGGAAACGTTTTTTGTTCGATTTTTTATTTTTTAGTCAATTTTGTCGTAGTTTTGCTTTGACATCAACTGTTAGCTGATATAAAGTGCGGAAAATTCAAAATTTAAGCAAAAATTTATTTTTTCAATTTTCTACCGATATAGTTTGTCGAGTTACATCGAAAAAATGCAAAAATAGCTCAGGTTTTAAAGAGACCGTTCATGCCTATATCGAGCATCTTCGTTATAGGCTGTCATACAAAAAATGTTGACCTACTTGTTTTATCATTGTAAATAAAAGAGAATGTAAAACAACCTATCAATCCAAAGTTTGAGCCTTGTTTGAGTGGCTTCTGCACAGATATGAATGCAACATTGCCAGTATCTCTCTAAAGTGCTAAAAATAATGATCATGCTTTTTTTTCTTGGTCTCAATATACGATCATTTTTCTCTCCAAAAATCAATCTAATCAAATTGAATAATATCTCAAAACACAGTGCAACACCGTATGTTTAAATTTTCCTTAAATAAATTCTAAACATATCTACGACGGATGAACGTCTGAACCATGACACAAAAAGAATGTAATACTTTTGAAAATTGTGTGCTATTTTTCAGTATTTCTTTGGAAAAAAATATCAACAGACATTCGTATTCTCATTGAGGCGTGTCACTATACAAAGTTTCAAGTCAAAATTCCAAACTCAGTTTGCCTGATGTTCCTAAGAGGGACTACAGCACTGTGCTTAGCAAAATACCGTAAAAATGCTGTATCTTGGAAGTAATAATCCATTGGTTCAAACTCTTTTCAGGATATTCATAGCTTATTATAACTTCCAAAATGCCCATAGTCCCGACTTAAAAGTGACGGATTCTTTGGGACCTTCCCTCGTTAGTCTTGGATTCAGAAATGATTAATAGGAAATGTAGAACTGTGTTGAATTGCTCATGACGTTTTGGTTAAGAAACTATTTCAGTATAATAAAGATTTTTTAGGCAACGCGATGCAATTTTGATAGTATGGATTGTGGATGTGATGAGTAGATCCACGTTCGCATTCATACTCTGATAGTGAAACGCGACGAACAAAAACTGATCTCCTTCTGATTGGAGAACCAGTCAGAATTTAATTTAATTATCTTATCATTATGAACGAACGGTTTTTGTCCGAACAGAATGTAGAAAAAACAGCTAGTATTAAAGAGTTAGGACAGTTTCTTATTCTTCAAGATATTCTTGAAACATTACCACAACGTTTAATTGCAATGAACATGGAATTATACGTTTGTAAAATCTGCCATTTACTTTGAAAGATCTAATCTATATATGTATGTGTTGTACCGCCGATAATTTAGTATATAATGTAAAACCTGAAGAAAAAAAAACATCAGAACTCATGCCGTAACCTTGAAATTTGAGATTGATTTGAATTTTTCTTTTGTATCCAAAAATTAAAAAAATATGAACGAAGGATGATGGCTCTGGCATTCATTTCTCAAAAGTTTTCGATTAGAAAACTTCAGAAATAGTCAAATTATCGAAGCAAGAACATGATGTCATATTATGTGCTTGATTATCAAAAATAACTCAACCATTGAATTCCAGTTTTATATTTTAATACCCCATAATTCTATCACTTTCGGAGTTTTCTGATAGGACCTAGTCGTACAACATTTATCGGTGAATATCATAAACATATTTACTTTCATAGCATAAAGAATGTGTGAGGATGAAGCCATTTTTTATCTCCCATTATAACTACTTTTGGATATAGGGTATGTGCGAAGAGAAAACCAACACTCACACCCGAATGGAAGACATTTTGATTTTTTTGATTGCAACGCTTGTGTTCTTCCAATTAAATGATGATAAGAACAACTCAATGGTTGATGGTGCAAGAATAACTGACAAAGCAAACTGAATTTCTAAGATAATAGCATAATCCTTTTACTGATAATTGAGTAAATAAAAGGCCAATATATATATATATTGGTAATTTTTATTGCCTATACCACTATTTTAATAAACAAAAGAAACTAATTTACTTTTTTATTATGTCTAAAAGTAATCGATTTCACGGTATGTATCTTGCAATGCAGTGCTTTCACAAATGAACAATACATTAAAACAATGAAGCCAGTAGACTCATGTTCACCATCAACGATTACTCTTCGTTGTCTATTGAATTATGTTTTTGTCGTTCGAAGTTCTTTATATGGTTTTTCACAAAATTCTTGGCTCATATAATTATTCACCCGGTAATTATGTTGCTGATGCAATTAGTATAGTAACATGTACAACAGACAGCGCTCAATATAGTATCTATGCAGCAAAGAAAAAACTACCACAATGTCATGATGACTTCAATAGCTACGTACATATTGAATATGGTTATATACCAACATTAATGAATGATTCAATAAACGAATACAATGTCTGTCGAAATGATACAGAAATCAGAAATGATCATGGAATCATATGAAGTCTTTCCGAATGCTTTCGTATAATACATGCATCCAATGATAAAACGATTCGTTTGTGGCTAAGTGGTTTATATATTGGTTCGACACCTGGAACTTGTGCTAACAATCATGTCCATGTAATTGATAATGTTCCAACATATCGATATGCATATCCATATTTATGTTCATCAACAATAATTACTCAGTATTATGTTACAACACAATTAGCAATCTATCGCGATATCAGAATTTGTTTTGAAACAGTTGATCGATCTAAAAGAAGGTGGTTGTTCAAGTTCAAACGGAACAATAATATCTGCTGTATCACCTGTTCAAAATTTTCAACTTTGTAGAGGTAAATCATTTAATTTATCGAATACCAAAAAGAAAAGAAAACAAAAATTGTACATTTTTCTTTTTTTTAGGTCCATTATTTACACTTCAATATCCAAATAATTATGGTTTAGTTATAAGGATAAATATATTTGGCACAACACAATCTAATCCTATCTCTATACAAAAAATCAAACGTAGTTCATCATGTAGTAATAAAATTACTGTTTATCAATATGTTGAATATCAATGTATACCAACAAATACTGAACTTATTTCACCAAATGTTTCATGTTCAATCGATGGTTCTAAAATCCTAGTACAAATTGATCATCGAGGTCGTCTTCCAACTTACAAATATCGAAGTTTTACGATAATGAATTGTATATATAGATTGATAAGTAGTGAAAATTCTATTATGAATTTTTGTGCACTTGATATTAGTTTAAACGATTATCCAACTGATTGTAGATCAAATAAAATAACATTTATTCAAGATGGTATTAGTTGAAAAACATAGATGTAGTTTAATCTATGTAAGTTGTTCAAACGAATTTGATTTGCATTATATTGCTAGCGATGATTCAAAATGTTTATCTTTTGGTGCAGGTATGTGGTAGCGATGGGACTTTTTTTTGACACCCGTACTCATGCCCTCAAATACTTTCATTAGCTGGTCAAATAATAAATATCGGCAATGTATCTATAAAGATTGTTATCGAAAGCTATTTTCTAATTACAGAGAAAAAAAAGAATTTTACTCTGTATTACGTAGATTCGAACTCCTGCGAACTGACAAACAGATCATCAAACAAAGAGAAAATATTTCAGGGTGTAAGACTCTCGAAATAGTCAAGGGAATATATAAGACAAAAATCATCTGCTTCAACTTTTCTATAGAAAAGTTTAACAGAATGCAAAGAAAAAAGGGAACAGAAATCAGTCTGCGTTCTTTTTCGACGTTTCTTTTGGTTCTTCTACAGATGATGAGAAAAAGATTTTGACCGTGAATGATTATAGATTATTCATTTTTCAGTAACCTTGGCTAGAGGTCTATTATTCTTGTTATTGTCGATTTTTTTGTTTTGTACAACAAAATTGCGTTAGCCTCTTTTGATTAATTTGCTTCTCTTCTCTTTTTTATTTTTCTTTGTTTGTGCAATCCATCAAACACAGAATGAAAAATCAGACATATACGCACTAGTAGAACATGTAATTATTCACCATGCAAAACACGCATTTCTTCCTCTTTTTCTCGCATTTTTTAACATCTATACAACTCAATTATTTGACACCATTACAACTTGCATTAAATGTTTCTTTTTCGTTTCTTCTTGTCGAACATAAACACACACACGCAGATATTTCTTTATTACTTTCTTCACTAAAAATTGCAGCTGAATGCACTGGACCAGTTACACGTCAAAGTCTTGCCGATTTTGAAGATGAAGCATCACTACCTGCTGCTGCCAGTGCTACTACTGTCAAACTAAAGGAACTTCGTGATAAAATAAAATTACTTGTTCCTGAACTTAGAACTAATACAGTGGATAGCCCACATGTCTATGGTTGATTACATTTGAGAATTACAAATTTATCTACTGAAGAATGTGAAGCGATTGTGGAAGGACTGAAAATTAATAGGGATAATGTTAAATGGTTGGAAATTGCACCAATAAATATTTCATCTGAACGTCTCGCGTGTATTGTCGATTCGCTAAAAACAAATACACGCATCACAAGCCTATATTTTCTCGGAAAGCCAGATAATGACTTATATGATGAAGAAGATGATGACAATTATTTAATTCTAGTGCCTGCACAATCATTGATCGAAGTTCTGAAAGTGAACAAAAGTATCGACGATCTCACCATTGTAGACAGTAACATGACTGATGACCATGCTAAACCAATAACGAACGGACTAAAAATAAATACAACAGTAACTCAGTTTCATCTAGAAAGCAATCCTAGTCTAACAGCTCAAAGTGCTCATTATCTAAGTGAACTTATCAAATCAACTAAAACATTAAAGAAAGTTTGGTTTGAAGGAAAACCAAATGTTAATGACGAATGGATAGTCTTAATTGCGTCTGCATTAACAGTAGATCGATCAGTGCGAGAAATAATAATGAATCACAGTCGAATAGGAGATGAAGGAGCCAAAGCATTTGGTGAAATGTTAGCAATCAATCAAACATTGACAACTCTATGTCTATTTAACAATCAAATAACAGATGTTGGCCCAAAAGCATTGACCGATAGATTGAAACATAACTCAACATTAGAAAGTCTTTCCATCGATGCAATCCAATTTTCAGAAACAAGTGAAGGTGGTAGAGCCTTGTTGAAAGCAAAAAGTGAGACCTTCAAATATTTATATTTTAACCACTAGTTTAGTGAAGAATCTACTACAGAAATCTTTGATAAATACACAAGTTTTTAATAAATTTTAGAATTAATGTGTGATCATATATTGAAGTAGTTGTTCACAAACTTGAGAGTGAGAGCGTGACTTCAGAAAAGTTATTCCAAGCTACTTACGACACGTTTCGACCTTGCTCAAGGGTCTCGTTAGATAAATTCGGAATTATTGATATACTCTGCATATCGGTTCTTGTCTCAAATCAAATGAAAGTTTATAAAAGTTGTGCAAGAGCAGAACTTTCAACTATTAGTCAGTGGAGTCTAGGAGCTGGGTGAGGCTTGAGCTTCACCCAAATTTGGCACTAATAGGCTCAGTCTCACCTGAATTGTGAATCATAGACTTGGTCGCATGCAAATTTAACGTTGTTTGATAACGCGAATCTTATTTTGGTGGGGTGTGAGCGTTGATGGGGTGGCTGTGGCTCTTCTCCACAACGAACCGCATACCCACACCCACAATCTCAACACTTATATGGCTACATTTTTGGATATGAAAATAAGATAAATTAGATATCCGCATTGTCACCTGTATTAAGTAACTGATCTGTCAAAAGCTTTAACGATTTGTTGCCTTCATGATGTTACTTTGTTTTTTATTCTAAAATTGCATGCTCTCGGAAGATCATATAATCTCAGTTTCTTTTCTTTTTTTGAGTGAACATAAAATCACGTACGTTAAATACAGCCCTAGACGAACTTCTTTTGGTCTGCGCAAGAGAAACTTGAGAATCTTGACCAAGAAAGTCCTGCGCTATGGACAAAACTTGAGGCAAGACTTGAAACCTTTCGGTGAGATCAAGTTCTTGAACTTCTTGTGTTATCGCTTGATATTCTTGCTCATCNTATTTCTTGTCGCTTGGTTAGTTTGGATAATTCTTTCATTTCTTTTTTCATGTTTGATATGGCCGTTGGAATTTTTGGTGAATGAAAAGTTTAGACAATCCTGGTTTCAACAATATGCGAATATTAAGAACACCATAAATACAACCAGTGCAAATGTTAAAACAACCACCCATTCTAAACTCATGTAGATTAAGTCGATATAAATATATTTGCTGACGATCTGTCCTATGAACGACTACGATTTACGCACCACAGGCGACTTCATCTTTAATATCCATTTGAATTCAAAGATAGACCCGAAGACATAGCATTTAATTTTTTTTCAAGCTTTGTATTAATTGCTGTCATGGGCGTGGGTGTAGATGTGTGGCAGTGAGTATGATTGTGGGTGTGGTGTGTTGGTGAAAGTGAGTGTGTGTGAATAGAGTCTATGACTTTTATGTGTAAGACACTTATGAGAACCGACGGTAATGTGCATGCACGTCGATCAATTTTCCTTCAAAGTATATAAACGAGTGTGAATAATAGAAGATATCCATTTACAGTCATTTAAAATTCACTATCATTAGATCACATTGAAAGTACGAACACATCATGTCAATTTTATTTTCTGAAACTGAAAAAGGCAAGCCAGTTCTGATTGAGAATGGTTTTGATTACATTCAAAAACGTACTCATGAAAATAAAATATACTGGCGATTTATTTGATTAATCTTTGTTATTTTGTTTACTTTTTTTCCTTCATTGTCTTTCACTTTTTTTTGACAAGAATATTTATTTACACATACACACACTCATTTTGCACACAATTATCTGCACACAAACATCTAACATACAATTGTCTTTTCGCGCAATTTCCTTGCACATAATTGTCTTACACACAACAGTCGTGCTCCCGTGTGAATAGGTGTGGGTGGATGGGAAATATGGGCGTCTGGATTCTTTTCCTGTTCAACCACATCCCCACTGACACCCCACCCCACCCACACCCATAACCACTCACACGCTCACCCACTTACATCCACACCCTATATCTTCTATGTAAGCATTTACCGAGCTAAAACTATCAATTGAGCTTGAGTGTTATTCGTGACTAACATCAGTCAATCAGATCATAAACGGTCGGTATTATCGGAAGAAAGTATAATTGTGGAATCAAATCAACCTTCATTAGAGATTATATGACACTCAAAAAGTTTTAGATTATCAAGTATGTTTTAATATGTCCCTCTTATATTCAAAAGTCTATTTCTTCTGAGTTGTATGCATCGCCCATTTACTAAATTCTTATGATTTGGTGTCAAGAGGGATTTTCCTAGTGACAAACTACTAAAACGCAGATTTTAGTCTAAAAATGTTTGATATATACGTATATGTGTGCTTCACTATAACCCACAATGAACTTTGCCTTAAAAGTCGTAAGTTTTTATATTTAAGTAATTCGCACATTAAGATGAATATCGAATGAAATGTATAAAATGAGGTACTAATTTGCACTCTTATTATTTTTTCTCTACAAGGGCTCCAAAATTGGAACACATTTATTGGCGATAACCTGCTTCAAGCCCCAGAAGAATAGTTTGTCCATGACAGACTTCTACAATACATAGTTAATAACTGTATCAATTATATGGAAAAAGACTTTTATCTCATTTTTGCTCAACAACATTAAAATACAACAACTACTTTTTATTGTGCTAATTTGCAGTTTTCGACAGTAGAAAACTTCATTTTCCAGGAGTCTTTAGAGTAAGGAAGGTTGGTTAAGTGCAAATAATCGCTGTGAAGTACCAGCTATATGTACACAAAATATTAAGTTATCAACTGCAATCTTTAAAAGAATTGCTCTTGGCCCCCTTTTTCTGTCCACTGTCGAAGGAGGTGGGGTTCAAATTTCTACCACTATACATTTCAATACTCTTTTTAGATCGTGCTTCACAAAAGTAAAGGAGCTCGCCTGTTAGTTGAGAGTAACGCACTTCTTTTCAATAGCATGATTTCTTGGGATGGCAATAAGTTTAAAAAACTGTAGCCCAATTGATTTTTAATTCCTCATTGCAGCTCTCTCCTCAAAATAATTTAGCTGGGAAACTGTCTATGACTTAAAGATTCCTGGTTACGTCACTAGTTGTGTTTATATTATATTCCTTACTTTAATAATAAATTAAAAGCACCGTGAAAGATTTTGCAAAAAACAGGAAGGAGGAAAGACTTTTGCCCAGAGATGTACATAACCTGTAGTCAAAGTTAAGTTGCTCTATTTTAATAAAAAAGAGCGATAATTTAGGAAAGTTTCTTCTGTAATTATCGTAAAGTTGAAGTCTTACTAGCCTGTATTTTTTTTAATTGCAAAAACTTAGAATTCATATATGATTGCTTGTCGTTTGGCAATATACTGAGCTTATTTTATTGCTTACAGAGTGAATTTGTGCATGGTTCACTTCGATATACTTTCATCATGTTTTTGAGTTTAATGAGTAATTCAAATCATACTGATTCTTTTTCCTTTTTCACATATCTAGAAGAGAGTAGAAAATTTATCTCGATTGTTGAAATATTCCGATATAGATGTAGAAGAGGATATGACGCATGGAGTAAAAAGCAGCAGAGAAGAAAAATAGCAGCTACAGCCCGCCATCTAAACGAAGAAAAAAAACAAAAAGAAAAGAAGAGAAGGAAAACAGGATGGGAAAAAGTGATTGCACATAAATATATGGGTATACGTATTGGCGTTGGGAGTGAAACTTTATATAACAATATTCAAGCATCCATACAACCCGTTTCGATCTTTGCTAAAGATCTTTATCAGACATGGTCAGAATCAATATTACGTATATTATTAATAGGGGGTGGATGTGGATGATTGTCTGATCTCCACTCACACCAAAGACCGAGTCGACTTTTAGAAAAAAATGTTTCTTTCGTATATATTCACATATCACTCAGAGAATTCTAGAGTTCTGAACTAATAAGCTTTTTTACAAGCTCCTTCATTCCCGATAATCAAAATGATAGATGATAGTTTTTTGTATGGCATGTTTTCTCAATTGACATAGGAAGCGCCTCTTAAGTGTGTACTTTCTCGTCATATATTCATTATCGAAAAAAAAGCAACCTGCAAATCCTAAGCAAAATTAATAGAAGAGAAGAGGAAACGAGTCAATTGCGCCACGCTTTCATAGAACTTGAATTAAAGATTTTTTTCTTTATCTTTGTTTTTTAACTAATAATGGCATGTCATGAACGTACAAATACAAATTTATTTTTCTTTACAAAGATGGTGAAGTATACATATAGAGTCGTTTATATATGAAATCTTATAAAGCCAAGAGTTGAGCTTTCAATAAAAACATAGAAGCAAAAAAAAATAAAAATAAAGGGGCTATAGACAACGAAGCAATGAAAGAAAACTACGCACAATAATAAAGATACATGGTATGAAATATGTTTTAACATAATTTTTTAAAGACAATTTTACTTCCGATTGCCGAACCAACTAAGAATATATACAAATATATAGACAACATCAATATAAAGCATCAATGATGCAAAAACATGATCTTCAGCACTTATTTCATGCCGTATTCCACCCATAAGTAATCGTGTATCGACAGCCAAGAACTAACAATAGAAAAATAACTTTTTTTGATTTCTTTGAATTATTAAAACTTACGATTGAAAAAGCCAGAGCTCCAAAACCAGCATAGATTGTATACATTATCTTAAAGAAATAAATACTTTTAGGAAAAATCATGACAGAAACATTTTATTTTGTTAAAATACTTACTCGTGAATAAGTAAAAATACAAACAATTCCAAAAGCTAAAAGTGCCAATGAAATAACAAATAAAATTCCAAAACATGATGTAAAATCATATGCTGTTTGGAAGGAAAATAATGTAATGCCCAAACAAACAAATGCTGTTATACCAACAGCAATTAATACTGATTCGATTTTATAATATGCTGAAATCATACCCATCTAAATTTTTCGCAAAGAAAAGACTTAATAAGTAAATAGTTTTTAAATCGAATCATACCATATAACCCATTGATAATGTCTAGAATGCAAAATTTTAGTAATTAATTAATTTAATTTTCTATTTTTACCAAAATGCCGAGTAA